ATGAGTCTAAGGATGAGGCTATACCACTTGCAAAACAGGTAGTATCCACTATGGGCCAGTAACATTTCATTCGCAGACGTGGAAGAGCTGAAGCAAGCAAGAATAGAAATAAAGTATTTGTGAAAACTGCACCAGAAGTCAGGCTGGAGCCCCATACCTGTTCTCCAGAACGGTCATGCACACGACTTCTCGCACGCCAGGGTTGTTGGCTTTTTCAACAGAGCAGCTCTGCAGGTTCCAAGTGGCCACCCTCAGGACGGGCTTCCCATCTCTCACCCCGCCAAACATTTCCACGGTGGGCCGGGTGGAGATAATCTGAGTCGGCCCCCCAGGCGGGAAATCCAAATCCTCACTCTGGAGGCTGAGGGAGGTGGGGCTGGGGTGGGGCTTGACCGTGAAGTTGAGGCCGCCGCCGTTGGTGTTCGTGGAGGGGGGCCTCGACCTCTCCGCGAAGATCTGGTGCCGGATCCTGTCCAGAAAGGAAGAGTTGATGCAGTCCATCTTGACCAGGTCCTCAATGCTCCTGAAAGGCCCGTGCTCCTTCCGGTACTCCACGATGCCGTTGGCGATCTTCTCCGTGATGCCACGGATGCTCATGAGCTGGGCGGAGGTGGCGGTGTTGATGTTGATCTTCGCAGCGGACAGGTGGTCGAGGGTCTGGTCCTTCCGCAGAGAGCTGGGCGAGTGCTGGGCCGAGTTCCCCTTGCTGCTGACGCAGATCTCAAACTTCACCTGCTCCAGCCTGGCGGCGCCCACCCCGCTGACCAGCGCCAAATCCTCCACCTTCTTGAAGCCCCCGATGTACTCCCGGTACTCCACAATGTTCTGGGCCACCGTCCTGGTGACCCCCGGGAGGGTCATGAGCTCCTCCTCCGTGGCCGTGTTGATGTTCAGCCGCTCCTGGTTGACCAGGATGTTGCTGAAGTTGCACGCCGCGCTGAACTTGCGGCTGTGGCATAAGTCCGAGGGGTCCCGCGGGATGGAGCGGTGGCAGCCCAGGTTGCCCCCCATGGCTCGAGTCCGAGACCAGACGCCGCTCCGGCGGCTTCACCAACCTCGGCCCTCGGCCCCGTCCGGGATCCCGCGGGAGGCGGCGGCTGGAGGCGGAGCTGAG